AAAAGAAATACAAAATGCACCTCAGATGGAAGACACAGGTTATTTTTATCCTCTTCAGAAGCACAATAAATTCCCATAAGGAAAGGTACTGGTGCATCTAAAAAATGTGACAGAGCCGCTGGTAGAATTGGAACATACACATGTTGCCAAACAAAAGGAAAAAGAATTGCTGTCACACTCTCAGCCACCAACATAAACTTGTGGAAATCTGTTGAACAAATGATAACATTTTTAAGGTCTACATTTATACTAACTGTAAACAGTGCTTCATAGGATGTACAGTACTTTTTAGTCAATATGTTCTCTTAAAACATGGTAAATTATGACATCAAAAACATACAATAAAGGTTATAAATAACTTTATTTTAAATATTGAATAGATCTGCCAACAATCCTCCTGATAAAACTCTAGACCTTATAGATAATAATATTATCCCAATGGCAAAAAAGATAGCTATGGAAAAATTTCTTAACAGTACATAATTATATGATTGTTTAATCATAGCAGAAATAATCATTTCAGAGATTGAAGCTTAGCAATAACCATAAAAAATTTTACCCACATCTTATATTTGTATGCCTTACACATCATCTCACATACATTGTGCTTTTGCAATAGCAATTAGTATCGTCCAATGATATTATTATAATTAATTGAGCCTTGCTTCAAATAATTATGGTTTTACGAAATCAATTCATAACATGAGCTTTCCAATTTAGGTTATCATGAGACAAGCTTAATAGTAACATAATTTCCAAAAACTGTTAGGTCATCTTACTTACCATTTGATAATAACAAAATTTGTTGTTCCAACAGGGTACAAGTAAACAGCTTCACAATGTTCTCAATACCAAGCAAAGTAAAAAGCGCCTTGAATGAATAATCAAACAGAGGGAGCTCATTTACACCTGGTCTTTGACAGGTGATGCTTGAGTCACAGCAATTGAACCTCATTGTTTTTCCAGGAGGTGGAAGAGGCACCTCAAACAGGAGATTATAAATGTATGATTCCAAAGGAAGTTGTAAATTTTCTTCATTCTGCACTGCCCTCAAAATCTGCTCCAGGAAACCCTTTCCAGCAGAGATAAATGGGAATGGCATTATAATAGAGATTGATTTTGAAACTAGAAGAGTATCTTCTCTAACATTAAATGATTTTCTATTAGAAATATTGAGCATGTCAGAGCTGGTGTTTAAATATTCACTGCGATTATCTGTTTCCAATGATGCAGCACTATTATTTGTGACAAAGACTGGAGATTTTGAACGAGACCGTGATTCTGCAATGGCTAGCTCTGCATCATGCATTGCCTGTAGTGTGTCCATTGCTTTGCAGATCTGAGCATCTTTGACAATTTCATAGAATGTAAGAGCACAGCCATAAACCCTGGAGCCATCTTCACGAGTAATCAGAAAAGAGTGAAAATGTTGTTCATGACATTCAGATTCCTTCTTGAAAGTTAGTCCTTGAGGCAGGCAAAGCTGAAGAAAAAAAGGAAATAAATGCAGGATGGATTGACACAATTAGAGAAAATCCACAGTATAAGGTCTAGTTTAACCCCCTAGTAAATGGCCTGTTCCAAGGCATTCAGCACAATTATAATAAATAGCGTAATAAATGGCTGTGAATATATGCAAGTCATATATTTGAACTGCGGATAAAGATGTGAATATGAAAGCGATCTTCACAGTAATGAACACTACCTTAAGCAGTAGTGAAAAGAAGGCCTGAAAAAAATTCAGGCTTGTACGGGATTTGAAACCATGACCTCTGCGATACAGGTGCAGTGTTCTACCAACTGAGCTAACAAGCCAACTGGGAGCTGGTCACTGTGTTGGTTCCAAAATAAACCCGTGAAGTGGTGAAAAAACAGCTGTAAATATATGCAAGTCATGTAGTTGAACTGCAGATAAAGACGTGAAAATTCACTACTTTTCACTACTGCTTAAGTAGTGTTCATTACTGCGAAGATCACTTTCATATTCACGTCTTTATCCACAGTTATGACTTTTTATGACTTGCATATATTCACAGTCATTTATTCACCACTTCACAGGTCTATTCTGGAACCAACACAGTGACCAGCTCCCAGTTGGCTTGCTAGCTCAGTTGGTAGAGCACTGCAAATAAATTTCATATTTGAAAAATCTGACATGATGAAGATGGGATACAAGTGTAAAAGTTTTTGTGCATCATCAAAAAACACAGGTGATCAAATATCTTCAAATAAATTATCAGTGAGAGTAATTTTGGGAGGAGGCTTACCATACGAACAGCATCTTCATCAAAAGGATTCCATTCAACATTTGAAGGAAAGTGCATCAAAACCTTGGCTTTGTAAGAGCGCTCCAAAGGAGATATATGCAATGAGTCACCTGCAATGGACAAATCATTATCATTGTCAAAAACAAAACAACGACTTCTTGAAAATTATACAGGCGAATTCAACTCTATAGTCAACCCTCTGCTAACAGACACTCTTGTATGCAGATGGTTCTACTTACAGACACATGGATTTGTTTATTGTTCACGCTTTCTTGTAAGCAGACACCCCATACATAATAATTGACTCTTGGCAATAAACTTTATCTTGAATTTGTCTTGATTTTTGACAGACCAACAGAACAGTGGCAATTGGTTTTATAAAATCTCCATTTGCCCATGGGAAAGTAAGCTGCCCATTTGTTTAACATAAACAAGAGTCTGGCATGACACTCTCCTGTGAGTCAACAGACACTTTTTCCCATTACCATAGGTGTCTGATTATGAGAGAGTTGACTGTACAAATATAGGGCATGCTACATGTTCAATACAACCGTATCTTAGAAAACATCCTACACCTATACAACATTTAACTATCTATAGCTGTATATTCTTGGACTCCATTATTGGAAACCTGCTTAGCACTTATCCCTGGTTCACTACAACTAAATTAGACTGTAGGCAACAGTGACATGACATTTGTGTCAGTTGAGGCTAAAAATGTTTTCAGGTTAAATTGAGTTCAGTTATCAAGGTAGTTTAATTCAAACAAATCATGGTACATGGCTTTGTTGTTTGGCACCAGTTTGACCTAAAATTTGGTTAAACTACAAAATATAATTTATGGTTGAAATTTCTTCTTTTTTTTTTTGGTCCCAAATTTTTAAAACCAGTTTGATTCTTATTTTCTATTTTCATCCATTTTCATAACCTGAAACTAGGGAAACTAAAAATGCAAATGATTTGAAAAAATTTGAATCAAGAAATGATCAAAATCACAACATATCATGGTAACAAAACAACTCTGAATTGATTATTTTTTGGCTCTAAACAATAATTATTCAAGCCTAGGTAGTGAGACACTGTAAATCCTTTTTCAGCTAATATGTCTTTTAAGGGTGAAACATTGTGCACTTAAACCAATTGGTTGTCACCAAGAGAAACAAACACAGACTGAAATACCTTCCCTTACAAGTATATAATTATGACCAATTAATGGCAACTCATCACTGAAATGCAAAGGCTGAACGATTTTTGGGTAAAGAAGTTCACAAACTCAAATGTTACATTCTCGAAAAGCCATCAAAAATTAAATACAATGCATTTCTACTGGTTTGCAATGTCTTTAATTTACCAGCTTTACTCTGCTAGATTAATACTGCAGATATATAAGGAAACAAAATCAATGTAAATATAGAAAAAATATACAATAGAGTATGACTGTGCATATTAGAATCATAAATCAAACCACATATGCTAATTAAGCTTAAATAGTTTTGTTCTAATTGCAAGCAATATACATATAAGCCTAATGTACAAAAAAAAAAAAAACAAAAAAAGAAAAAAAAAACAAGCAAACAAACCAAAAAATAGTAAGATTTTTTTTTGCAGATGAATCAAAATGAATACTTAAGAAATTTCTCCTTTTCAAAGAACATCAAATAAAAAGCCACTGAAGCAATACAAGAACACTCGTAGGAAAGATGCTGAAGCCAATATATGCACATTATGTTAATGTGACCGGTTTGGAAGAAGTGATATCTCATATGTCTAAGACAAACTCAAGGATTATAAAATGAATTCTAGACATATGATATCTCTGTTTGTCAGCTGCTGAGGAAACCAAGCAGTTCAACTACTATATGCGGCCAAACTAAAGTACAGCTACAGTAAATGGATTCATAAAAAATCTAAACAGATGTAATGAATCCACAAGAACCTACACGGTAGTTGTGTATCATCTGCGATTGTGACAGAAAATTTGTTTTCAAGTGGAAATTATCCCTAAGAACTAAAGAACAGCCGTGAACCTAGCCATATCTTATTTCTGTGGTACATAATATAACTTCGAAAATAAATTTACCTAAGTTATTATGAAGTAAATTTTATAAACTGTACTTCTCATTTTAAGTATAAATTTAACAGATATAGGCACCTGTGATTTTACTTTTTGACTACCGTCGCTGCTTGACGTTGGGACAAAAATATATTCAAAAATAAATATGAGCTGACATACGAAGATCTAGGATATATAATTATAACATTCTAGAATAAAACTACTACTGCGTATCTCTTAACATTTAAGTTTCTAACCGTGGAGGCGTCATGAACGTTGCCGAATGTTAAATGGTCACTAATCAATAGTACTGGCACAAATCAAACGAAACGACATGTCAAAAAAACAAATCACATCTGCCTCACGGGTCTGTGACGAATCTTTAGTATGAGCACATCGAGAACAGCGAAGTAAACTGTGTATAAATTTCTCACAAACCTGACAATTGATCAGCTTCTAGTCCAGTTACAAGATCTAATCCGCTGACTACAAAGTAGTCGGCAAATCTTCGGCCACAACCGGAGGAAGACATGTCTTGCACATCAGGAAAAATACCCTCACCTTGGGAAACCAGCCATTTTTTGATGATTACTACCAAAGTGAGTAATCCCCAGATCCCTCTGCGGAAAGGAAGCCTTATTACACGTACACGATGTATAAGGTGAACATTGCCTTGTGGGAAACAGCAGCACACGCGCTTGACACTAAGAAGTGAATCGATAACTCTGTTCGCCAGCGCCGGAAAATGGTATGTTTTGAATGTAAGAGAAATGTATTTACCACGTGAAAGATGCAGAATTTCCTAAGATAACTCCTCTTTGCTCTTTTCAGGCGTCTGGAGGATACCCTTCTTCCTCAGGAAGTGGACAAGGTTACTCTGGAAACCCACCGCCTGTAATGATGCCCGGTGGTTATCCGGTAAGCTAAGAATGATCAGTTTGACAACAGTTATGAACGTGTAATTTTTATTAAAAAAGTGTTTTCGGATAATTTTAGTTGATTAATAAGACAAGGAAATCTGCAATTTGAGCAGTTTCTATGTACTTTGAAGATAGGGAGATGCAAACAAACTCCAGAAATAGGAGTGAATTTGCAAGACGGAATTGATGAAGAGTGGAAAAAACAGATCTCTTGGGATGAAGGGCTGTAATGTGAAATCCAAGGGAAGATCTCTTGTGCATCAAAGAATTCTCTGTCTTTTCTCCTTTTCACCCCATGCCCTTGTGTGTCTATCCTTTCACTCATACTACAATATCATTACTTTAGCCATAAGTTCAGAATTAATATAAGGTTGATGGTTGTTTTCAATCTGATGGAAAACCTGATTGTTTACCCTAAGGAATTCATTGGCTAATTTATTTAACTCAATTATCTTATATAAACTTTAGTGGCTGAATTCATCATTAATGGAACACCTCTGGGGAAAAAAATAATCCTGGGGTTTTTCCAATAAATACAAGTCATGTAATTCACTGCTGCTTACATTTAATTTCATCCAATAAAAAATAATTTTAAAAAATTTTCAATTGCTAAAAGTGCATTTGTGTTTCAAGACAGGAGACTGAGAGGTTTAAATTATATTGATTTAATTTGCCAAACTGAAGGATCCTGTCACAAAATAACAACAAACGAATGCTATTTATTCTATTCCTTGCAATGATTATGAGAATAAATACATCAGACAGACCAACCATTAGTTTGGTACATGTTTGAAAGAGCATCAAAAAGCGGTTTTCTTTTGCAAGAAAGAAAATTCAGCTTTATTGGAGCACACTTGCCCAACTAACTATACAATTGGGTGGGATAAGTCTAAAATTATCACCACTAATTGGCATTACCACCAGTACCTTTGTCTGGAAGCTTGGCATATTAACTCCACCCACGCTCCTTTAAATTGTGATGATGGCAGCTTGCTTCCTGATGCCTATTTAACCTCATTAGGAAAAAGGCAGCTAAATAGTGATTGTGTAAAAGGACCTCTTGTTGTAGTGTTTAGATCACCCCTGATAAAGGCACTAGACAGGAGTGTCAAAATGTTGGATCTATGAATTGTAACTTCTTTGGTTACATTCATGAAATCTGTAAACCAGAGTAGCATCAAATCATGTCTGACTGAGGGGTTTGTTTCCAATTGCAAGCCAAAGGAAACTCTGCAAACAAAGATCATACTTAAAGCAGCTGTGAGTCTGAAAGTGATGTATGAATCAAAAACAATAGAATCAGTCTTGGCTAGGTGAAGAAAGGGTTGGATCTTAGCAAGAAAATTTAAGAACAAGTGCTTATCAAAAGTTGATACACAGGATACTATCTTGTATTGTCTTTGTAGACTCCTGTTGAAAGTGTTTAGTATTATGTAATTTTGGGTGGTTGCCATTATTAAAAGTCTTTCTGTGACTTTTTGGAAGCTTTCAAGCAAACTCCAGCAGTAAGACCTAAAACATCTTGAGATGTTTTAGAGTTCTTTCAGTCAACTTTTACCTTTAGAAGAAGGTTTTGGTAAAAAAAATTGATATTGTCTTATCATATACCACATTTCCAGCAAAAAAAAAAAAATTGGGTTTTCAAGAACATGTTGACTCAAATGTCAGTTACAAGTAACCATATATCCTTTCAAAGTACTTTCGTGTAAAAGTCTAGGAGCGGGTTTACGTGTCAGCAAAAAGTTTTGTATGGAAATTAAAGGATCAGTTAAATGATTGGTTCAAAGGAGACTCATATTTAATAATTATTTATCAAAGACTAACACCAAAGACTCTGTATAAAGCCTGTTTATTCTGAATGGAACTAATGGGCTAACGAGAGGGAAATTGTTTTTCACATTATCCTCTGGCAGGTGCCACCTAGGTAGCCACCTGCTTCAGATCTAATTGAAAGCACTGATTATGCTGAAAATGTTTAATTCGCGAAGTCCAGTCATGGCTATAATCCTAATATGAATCAGTCTGACTTTTCAAAACACATAATGTAGGATAAAATAATTGAAACAAATAAGAGAATATATTGTAGTCAACTGAAGAACCAATTTCTGAAGGGACAATCTATTTGGCTTGATTGTGGTTAACCATAAGCATTGCATATAATTAAGAAAGTTGAGTGACACTATTTTGCAAACCACATCAGTTTTTAAAAAATGCATTAAAAAGTACAGTAGAGTGCAGTGAAGAACAAAAGACAAATCTTATTGCATGCATTTGCAATTAATCTCTTGCATGCACACATTCTTCTTGTGGCTGTCCAACAACTTGTTCTTAGAGCACAAATCATTCCTTTACATCACCTGTATATCTGTAGGTGATGCAGTACATTTTTACAGCAACGTGTATGTAGAGACGTGAACTCAATGTATTGTATTTGTTTAACAGGTAGCAGGAATACCAATGATGCCACCTGGATATGGTCCCCCTGGAATGCCGCCTTTTCAGCCTGTTGCCATGCCAACTGGTCAGCCAATGGCTTATCCCCCAGGTGGCATGCCTGGAATGCCTTATCCTCAACAACTTCCCCAGCAGACTATGGGGCAGCAAGTGACTGGAACATTTCAACCAATACCAAGTAGTGGTTCACCAGTAGTGATGAGTAAGAATACTATTAGCTTTTTAATAACTTTTCGTTGAGTCCTCTACAAATTGTTTAAAAAATTGTGTCAGATCTTCTTGTGTGTTGCTATTATAGCAATAGTGTATGTAAATTTAAACCAGTGAATCAGTTAGTTAACTTTTGAGTGAGCTTTTTTTTTTTTTTTTTTTTTAAGAAATTTCCTGGTGCTTGTACCATGTTCTCAAATCTGTTGAATTCCAACCTCAACAACCAGCCAAGCTGTCCTACAGTTTTTGTCTAAAGTTTTCTATATGAAGATAATTTATTAGAATTATAATCTGAGGCAGACTTGTTGAGGTGTTTTGCATCATGATTTACACAATCCAGAGACACAAGTATTTTAAAGGGTCAATCAGTGTTTTTTTCCAGCCTCTCAGTGTGCATGGTTTCAAATTTGTTTGTTTGTCTGCGATTTTCTTAGTGCCTGCTGTTGTGAGACCTATGCAAGTGGCAGCTGAGTCTGGGGGCACCAGCTCCCCTTCAGTAGTCAAACAAATCCAAGAACAAGAAAATAAACCTGCAGACAGCCCAACACAAACCAACAAATCTGAGCAACAACAGAATGAGAAGGAAGAGGTCAAGAAAGAGAAGAAGAAGGTCAAGAAACCAAAACCTCCAAAGGTACAACTGAAAAAATATTATGTGCAAGGCATGAAATTGTGCCTAACACAGGTGCCAATGTGACTAAATTTTTCACTTTGGCGACCAAATCCTGAAAGTTAGTTGTCAAATTGGCGACTAGAGTGTTTCATCATAACCTTACCAAGAGATATAGTGAATTAAAAAGATTTGCAGAGATAAATCCGCGGCAAACTTCCTCGTTAAGTTTGTTGTCAAAACGTAGCACATGCATCTCGATCAATAACTAGACGCCATCTTGGATTTAGATGAGCTTTAACATTGCATATCATCCATCCTAGTGTCCACTTTGTTGCACATTAAAGATCTTTTCCCTAACTTAATTTTGGAGGGTCTATCTAGAATGCTGACAGCATAAAGAAAGATTTTGTTTGTCTTTGAAAATGGTGACCAACTTTTTTTGAATTGGCTACTACTTTGAAGAATTTAGGAGCCAAGTGGCTATCAGAAAAAAAAAATTAATTTCACGCCCTGATGTGTAGGTTGGTTATTTCTACAGCCAGGTTACATTTTAGGATGATGGCCACTGTCCCTAGCAAAAGTTATGATAAGATTAATAATTCTATGTAAACTAGAAAGTTACAATTTGTGACCTCTCAGGGAGAAAGGTATACTAATGGCTTTCTGTTAAATGGGTGAAACGCACAGCTACTGAACAGGTAACAAACAGGTAACTTGCCCGTTTGAACAGATGCTATCAAACAGCTGAATGGGTTATCAAGTACTGTGAACAGCTTGTGTAAATTTTCAAACAGGTTACCCAAATGACTGAACAGCTTGTGAAAATTATCAAATGGGTCACACAAATGACTGAACAGCTTGTGAAAATTTTCGAATGGGTTAACATAACAGATGAACAGGTTTATGATTAATTTTGATCAGCTCATGAAAAACAATTGTCATAAAGGCTGAAGGGTAGGTTATCACTCTGAACAAATGGACAGATCTGGTCTGATCCAGGTTTTGTTGGAACCTCGTGTTTAAAGAATGTTCGAATGGATGGTCAACTGTTCTGATGTAACAAAAATATTGACTTCCCACAGTTACTATAAAATTGCCTGATGAAGTATTCAAGTTTGGTAACTGAGACTTAGTTCCGCATCTTCTATTAAAAGCAATACTTGAACAACCCTTGAAGGTCAAGTTGTCATTATTTATCTTTTTTGTGTCAAGTGTTTATTGCCACTTTATTGCACAAAAGCACGACTACAACTTTTTTCTAGCAGCTTTGCATGTTGCCAAATTGTTCCCTTTATCTTTTCTTCTGACAGTGAATGCGATGCCGTAAACATCTGTGCATGATTCCATTTCTGGTTTTAATATAGTACAATCTTGTGATATTTGCATAAAGTAGACATGTGTGACAGGTAACGCAACACTATCCAATCCATTGTTTCTAAGCGGTCCTATTGACTAACAAAAGAGTTGATGGCAAAAAAGATTTTGTAATATTAACACACAAACAGCGAAAGTCTAGGTGTTTGACTGGCTTCTTTTGAAATGCATTGTTAACATACTTGTGTCTTTGGCATAGATTCTTTGTCTAATAATGAATATTATCGCATCAACGGTGAAAAAGTGTTTTCCTTTTACACTTGACTCAAGCTCTAATAAGCCGAATATTGTATAGGGAGAATGCTGGGTATACAGGAAGCTAAAGTGTTTATTGTGTGGGGTTGTCTGAGAAAGATCAGGAAACACACAGTGTTTATGGTCGAAATTTGAGCTAATGAAGTTGGACAAATCTTCTAAATATTAGAACAGATGACTGATGCTGCTTGAATGGAGTTATCTTCAATGAATGAACCTTTGAACCTTCCAAATGGATGATACAAGTTGTTTGACAGAAAATAGTCCAAGTCATTCAAATGGGCTGATGTTTTTCAACGCATGGATGACCAATCCATTTGAACGGGCTGATGTTTTTGATGAACGGATGACCAAGCCATTCGATGGATGCTTCTATTGAATGGATGACCAAAGCCATTCAAACGGATGCAAATTTTTCTGAACAGCTGACAAACAGGTTGTAAATGGAAAGCTGTGTGAAAACAGAAAGCGACTGGTGTACGTTTTGCCGTGAGAGGTCTCATTTTTTCGAGCACTTCTTTTTCAAATAAATGCATATTTCATGTTAGAAGTGTCTTCTTCAGCAGTTCAGTTGTCAGTTTTATTCTGATCTTATTAAACTTTTATGTGGATGGAGATGCACCTTGTGGTCCCACCTGGGGTGAGATATATGTTGATGTGTGGTGGCTTGAACAATTTGATATTGGCAGTTGTTATGTTAATGCTATTAAACTAGATAATGAGTGCTAAAGATGAAGAAACTATCTCAAGCCTCCTTTAAACCCAGCAATATGTTTTAGCCTCTGGTAGTACAGGTGTTTTATTTTAAGCACCTTTTACATAACACAAGCTATGAAAGTTTAGTGCTACTACATGTAAGCTGCAGGAGTGGTGTGTTGATGAGGGCACTTCCTTCCTACTGTGGCCTGGGCTTGACTCCTGGACCTGGTGTCATTTGTGGATTGAGTTTGTTTTTGGTTCTTGTCCTTGCTCTAAGAGTTGATCTACAAGTCCTCTGGGTTTCCAGCCTCCACATAATGAATATTCTAAATTCCAATTTGTCTGGGAAACTTTAGGCAAGAAAAGCCACTTTTGTGGAATATCTGCAGCTAACTTCCTAGTATCTCATAATAAAACAGTAAATTATTATTTTAGGGCTGTTCTTTCAATACTGTAAATTTGAAATTGTAAGTTCTCTTGATATTTGCTATGACTTGTGCGTAGTTCTGAGTGTTGTGTATGTGATTACATTTCAGTGTGTTTGCTTTGTGAAGTGAAGTAACCTCTTGTAATCTTACAATTTGCAGAAAAAGACCCCATGGACAGAACACAAGGCTCCTGATGGAAGAACATACTTCTACAATACAGACACCAAAGTGTCCACATGGCAAAAGCCAGCAGAACTCAAGACTCCAGGAGAGGTACATGTAGGGTGTTAATTTGGAGCATGTACATGAACAGTTGTAGTGTAAAACTGCTAGGCAGTGGTATGGATGTATAGGAGCTACATGCATGATGGGAGGCTTGAGGAGGGAAGTTATTCTCTAGGTGGCAAGGAGGTCATCTTTGGAAACCATTCCACAGCACCCCTCCAGGCACCTGTTATGTTTACAATTTTTTCAATCTTATATTTTTTTTTCTTAGTTTGGTGATGGATCTGAGACAAATTAAAACTAAAACTTGATAACATCTAGTTTGACCAATTTTTGAATAAACAAAAACCTGAAGTACAGCATATGTGCACATGTATATATGAATGTCTTTTAAGACCAAAAGAAAATACTTGTACATGTTTGTTGAAAATGAATGTGAATGAAGTGAAGTGCTTATTTTTCACTCAGGTATCAATTGCCACACTGCAGTCCCTTAGTCTGTAAATTTATAGATTCAGTTTTGGTTGATTGTTGACAGTTGATCCTTTGACATGTTTCAGGTTCAACTTGACTCCTGTCCTTGGAAAGAGCACAAGTCAGACACTGGTAGAATTTATTATCACAACAATGAAACCAAAGAATCAACTTGGACAATCCCAAAGGAACTGGCAGAACTTAAGGGTAAGTTTGGCTACAAGGAATGCACTTATTGATATTTTAACACAAATATATTAGTGGTTAACTTTCATGGGAATTTCAAATGCTTTGTGTTGGAGGAGGTTATGTGCATTCTTGTTACAGAGCATGGTGTAATGTGGTTCTTGTACATAATTACCAATGCTATTTTTAATCTTGTGGCAGAAATAATAAAACAAGAACAAGAACAAGAAGAGTAAGTATTTTGTATGAATTTCTCAATGATGCAAAGTTTGCTTCCTTTACTTGGTTGTTTAGTTATTTTACTTAATGAATATGTACTTGTTCATGTAAGGCATGTTGACACACTTGCAGTATTTCCATTTTTGTCAGCTTTGGGTCACAGAGTAAAGAGATGTTTATCTTTTTTACAAAGAGTGAAAACCTTAAAAGTACATGTATTTCAAGCATTTTTTCTGAGTTTGTCTGAAAATCCTATTCAGTGATTGCAGGTTTATATTTAGTTTTGAAATCTTCAATACCAACTTTCATGTCTACATAAATGATTTGAACATGCATGAATGACAAAGTTACAATGTAGGAATTGGCAATGACTGGCAAACGTGCATGTCAACTGTTATGCATTCTTTTATTGTTCATTATGAAAAAACTATTTACAAACCACCTTAGAGGTCAAACAGTTTTCAAATATAAGCTGGGCATAGGATGCTACAGAGATAATAGTTTAATTGTGATTACTTTTTTAAACAATCTAGGGAAGAGGAAGTTTCAGAAGAAGAAGATGAAGATGAGAACAAGGAAAGTGATGAAAAAGATGGCAAAAAAGCTGATGAGGGAACTGCCCAAGATTACCCCATGGCAAGGTCAGTTAAAGAAGTGTTTCCTCTGTGAGTGATTTTTTTTTGTCGTCAAACGGTTTTTATTTATAGTCAACAAGGAGCTATAAAATGTGTCCATATTTGCATTATCAGTCAACTTTGTTGACTGGCAGAGTTAGCGTATCGAATGATGTTGTATCTGTGTGACCTCACAACACTATCAGTTTAAAAACAAACAGCAAATTATTTAAGAGTTGATAAAATTAGACATTTGTGATAATCCATTTTGTTTTACTTTGACATAACAGTGCAGTGAATGTAAGTGAAACTCCAGCTGTTGCCACTGTGGAGAAGAAAGAGTATGTTTATGAAACAAAGGAAGAAGCTAAACAAGCTTTCAAAGAACTCCTGAGAGAAAAGGCAAGTTGATATGTTTTCTTGAAAGTAAACAATAAAATTTATGTACATGTGGTAGTTCATGTACATGTGCCAATAATCTTTGAGCCTGTTTAAACCTTAAAGAAATGGGGGTTTAATTTTGAAGCCAAAATGGTAATTTTGCAATTCGATGAGGTAGGGTCTTTGTCCTCTTGCATAAAACAATGTAATGTACATTTTGTACTGTAATTTAGCAGGCTATATTTGTTATCCATTCTATAATTTCCAAGCAGCAAAGTTAAACATGCACATGTTGGCAACATTATGCTCTATTTTATGTGAAGTGCTGATCTTTGTTAATACAACCATGATTTAATATAAATTTAGTCCTTTTAATGGGATGGTTAGGCTATTAAAGAGCATTTCTCAAATTTCAGTTCATTCAGGACACTGTCTATGGCAGTATCCCACTGTGATAAATTTTTCTATTGGACTGTGCTATGTACAGTAGAGTACAAATAATGTGCAAACAAATTAAAAATATCCTGGATATTGGACAGTTGGTTATTCTGTGCAATGAAAAAACCTGTCTGACAGGTTAGTTACTCTTTCATGAGTTGTTTCAAGGGAGGAAAAATGGACAACATTTTAAATTAGTTGGATAAATAAATAACTTTTTAGATGTTCTAGTGTGTAGTATTGCTTAGCATTTTTACTTGTTGTTAATTTTTTGACTCACCTTACAGCCTCTTTAACTTGTTAAAATACCCAGTAATACTACACACCAAAAATGTATCTTCTGTGCAATATATGTAAACTTTGATACTTAGTAATGTGGTGTTTTTGACTTTACTCCTATGGACAGGAGGTTCCATCTAATTCCACTTGGGATAATGCCATGAGAATGATTGTTAATGATCCCAGATATGGAGCCCTGAAGAAAATGAATGAGAAAAAACAAGCATTCAATGAGTATAAAACAAAAAGAGCCAATGAGGAAAAGGTATCTTATTCTTAACAGTTTCCATACTACATTTATGTTTCAATGATATACAGGGTGTATATGCATTATTGACCAAGGGTGAAGTCAACATGGTGGGATATTGGCAGAGTTCTTTTTTTGTGTTTTTATGGACCAAGACAAAGTTGAGGTCCATAAAAACAGAAAAAAGAACAAGGCAGCCAGCCATATCCAGCCATCTTGACCAAAAACGTTTGGTCAATAGAGGATTTATTTTATAGCAAAAATATTGCGCTCTATAGAAAATCAAGAATGACTTGATTATTTAGTACAATAAACCCACAAAAAAATGCTTATTTGTTCTTTGTTTTGACTTTCTTTGGCCACTATTTGTGACTCCTTCTCAACATCCAAAAATTCTGTAAATCATCTCTAAGCCTTTCTTGGGTGGAATCAAAGCTGGTAAACTTCAGCGGGCAAGATAGGCTTGTCTTGCCTGCTCAGATAGCCAATGAAAAAACAGGATTCACTTCATATTTCCCACAGTCACTGCTAGTGATTTGATATTAATAAGTCTTATTGCTACATATAAACATGATTTTTATTTGTGGTTCAGATGCACACGTATGTCTATCACCAGTAACACAAGCTAAGCATTTTGATACTTGTGGCTTGATTTTAGTGTTTGCTAGTATCCATGTCATTTCTAAGCTAATCAACATTAGATGAGCTTGGAGGTCAGTTCCTAAAAGGGTGGTGTTTAGAGCTGGTAGCAATCATGCATGAGGAATAAGAACTGATGTACATACACCTAGCAACCTGCCAAGAATGTACTGCCAAAGTAGCCCTCACACCAAACTTGCTTGTTAAATACTTGCCAAAGTGGAATTTATTTGGAGAAGGGTAGAGAAATCAATAGCTTTTTTAGTAAGTAGAGTACATGACCTCAGTCACTTGTCAGTGAGGATGTTAGGGCTAGTTCAAATCACAAGGTACCCATTGCAGAAGGCCTAAAGGTTGAGCCTTATGTATTGGGGGATTTAATTGACGAGCATCTTCTCAAGGTCAGCCTTATCCATTTTACAGTAGCCATGTTGTATGTATTGAGTTGGAGAGAAGAAGTTAGGGAGTATGGTTATTGCCCTAAAATGCAACCTGCCACTGTGTGGAGGTACCTTAAGATTACCCTAGACAGCTTGCACTAGAAATTGGCAAATCATTATACTTCATAGATACATGTAGCATATCAGTTTATTAAACACTTTGTTATGACAATATACTAAATAAATAAAAAATTGATTAAATCTTTTGCTTGTGTTTCTCATAGGAGGAACAAAGACAAAAAGCAAAACAGGCTCGTGAAGACTTGCGTAGCTTCTTGGAAAAGCATCCTAAGATGCACTCTTCAGTGCGATGGCGCAGGGCAGGGGAATTGTTTGATGGTGAACCAATGTGGGAGGCTGTACATGAAAGAGACAGGAAAGATGTGTTTGAGGATGTAGTTTTCTTCCTGACAAAGAAGGAAAAGGAAGAGGAGAAGGAACAACGAGCACACAACAGAAAGCTGATGTTAACAGTGTACAATTCCATGCCTGGTATTACTTACAGGACCACTTGGACTGAGGTGAGCTTTATGTTGTCCAGCTAGTATTTTATTATCATTATCAATTTTTTGTTATAATTATTTAATAAGTATATACTTGGGCTTGATGAATATTGTTGAATAATTCCCTTAATAATCAACAATATTCAGTGAGCCTGAGACAAAGAATAGTTTTAGTATTTAATGCATAGGTGCTTTCTAATTCTGTTTAAATATTCATCTTGATGTTGAAACCATTCTGTTTCAATTGTTTTGATTATTCATATCAAGATAAAGAGCCAGTTTCCACTAGAATTTGTTAAATTAATTTAATTCAACCAGCAGAAACTTCATGTCTTTCTTTTGAAGTGTTACTACAAACTTAATAGCATTTTTGGCTCTTTGGAATTGTATTTTCTTTATTTCCTTCATCGCTTCCTCTGTAATACTGACAAAATATGAGGCAGCCATTCTGAAATTTAGCACACCTGCTATAATCACCATGTATGAGGTGATAATATTGTGATATGATGCAATCTTCTTCCAATCAGAGTATGTGCATCTCTATGATCACTGGAGTAATCGTACTAAAAATTAATTTTGTAATTATCAGTATTCAGGTTTTTTTGTTAATTGAAACATGAAGATGTTTATCACTGTTTTTCTCAATACTGTTTCATGAATGCTTTTATTCAGCCCCTCAGTAGAGCCTCTGCATTGTGCCTACTAGTTTTATCTTAAAGATAATTCACTGTGTTTTTTCGTACTCAAAAAGGGCAGAAGAAGTACCATGATTTCTGGCTGTTTACCTGTGGGTAATCTGTTGATTTTGCATTAAATGCGTGCCACTGTGGGTAATAGGAAGGTGTGGGTTATGTGACAATTTTAAAATCTACTTGTAGTTGAATTGAAAAAAATTCTCACCTACATGCATTTCCACCTCTCAAATAAATTTTATTATATTAAGAGTGCCACAAAGCAGCATGAAAAGATGATCCCGACTTGAGTTTATTTCACACATAATTGGTTGTGTGACGAAAAAATTGTTATTGGCATGTGTGAAAACAAAACCTTGATGGTGACAAAAATAATCCAAAGATATCCGGCGCATCAGTAACAAATTTCCATTTAACACTAGCTTGAGCTAAAGATCATTTTCCCGTTTTAAGGGACTTGTTAGGCCAATAGAACCAGAGACATCTATTTTTTTCAGAAATTGCCAACAGTACCTTATAATTCAAGTTTTAACACTTACCCAGCTTTCTTTCAACAAAGCAACATGGCACTGAACTATCCCTTGCACAAAATGTGGCCACAAATTTGCATTCTGTCAAGTATGAAATGTTGAGATTTGGTTATGGGCCGCTAGTATTTTTACCGTATAATTTTATCAATAAAGTACATGCTAACATTGACACAGAATTGTCCATGTGTCTGAATTTCTTTGACCTTCAAACTTGACAAAGAAGCTTTCAAGTTTTCAAAAGTTAGATCAGACAACTTTTATGAGACTGAAATGTATCACCTTGATGTCACATTTTCACCACCAAAAAGTTTAGTAATATAACGTGTGGGTTATCCACCAGTGTGGGTAATCTGTTGACTTTTTTTTCCGCTGTATGCAATAATCAGCTGGTACAGTTAATCGGCTGTGTGGGTAAACAGCCAGAAATTATGGTAGTTCATTCCCTCAATTTGATAGTCAAAAGATAAGGACTGGTAGAGTTCTGCTGTATACCTTATTACAAGGTAGGGTAGGACAATGTAATAGCTTATATTTTCTTTAATAGTTTCAATTAGAATTTCATTGTATGCTCTACCTCTAGAATATGTACAATTGTTAAGTTGGAGTGTAGAGGATAGAATGTAGCTAAGACAATGGCAGTTCAATTTTTTTAGTCCTGATTTGAATGAATTTCTCTGAACAGGCCTTGCAGATGCTTAAAGAACACCCAACTTATAAAGATGATGATGAAATTCAAGGTAGCAAAACTTGATTTTTCTGATTGAGTTGTGCCATCTTTAATACGAGAGGCATGGTAATGTAATACCTAATGGTTTTAATATCATTTGATGTTCAGACTGTGAAAAAGAAGACATGTTGATATCATTTGAGGAGCACATCAGGGCTCTGGAACAGGAGGAAGAAGAGGAGAAGCAAAGAGAGAAGAACAGAGTGAAACGACAGCAAAGAAAAAATAGGGAAGGATTTCTGGTGAGTTAATTTGTGTGGATCAAATTCCACACATTGTTTTGAATTTAAGAAGATTGTGTGAATAGCTGCATCTACAATATCAGAAAAGCTGTTTTCTGTCTCATGTTCTGGTATTGAGCTGTTTGAATTGACTGAGGAAGATTTAATATGAGAGATAGTTTACTCTGTCACATTTAACCCAAGTAAACATACTTAATGAAGCTGTTCTTGATTTTGAAACAACCACAGTTCTTTAAACAAGTTGTATTGCTGCTTGTGAAAATAATAGTCATGGTATACAATGCAGTTTCTCTTGGGGGGTTTGCTTATAATGCCATATATACATATAAAATCTTTATTTCAAACAATGCAAAAAGAACTCAAAATGTCAAAAGTAACCCCTACTATCCTTTTAATATAAAAGCTAACTTAAATTGCCATTGACAAGAAATAAATTATTTTGTCTACAGAGAGTTCTTCCTTTCACAGTAATGTGCCAGTTAGGCTCACCCTTTATGGGCAGTTTTATGTTAACTGTGTGTTCCTGTTCTCATTATATTGGAGATGGGCTAGCTAACGTTATGGTGAGCTAGAGCCTAGGTCAATAGGTCTGGGTTTGGGCTACTGGACTCTGGATTAGGGATCTGGGTTTGATTCCAAGCCTTGTTCTTGTGTTACAGTCTTTTGCAAGACACTTTGCTGACACACTGGCTTTCTCCATTGGGGAGTATAAATGGTACTTATGAACTTCAAGGATGATCTGAGGGTAACTTTCCCACTAAGAAAGGGTACAAATTCCACACTTCTAGTTGCTGCATGTAACAGCAACCAGGAAATGCTGTAACAGGATATGCCATCCCTTTTTATGCTCACTCTGTCTGCTGCAAGCTAGTTGTCTCTATCTACTTGTACATGTACTCTCTCCTTAAATCCTATCATTTATTGGAAGCAACAAACTGACTGTACTTTTCATCTTTCATGTTAGGTTTTGTTAGATGAGTTGCACAAGAGAGGCAAACTTCACTCCATGTCGTTATGGATTGACTTGTATCCAACAATCAGTGCAGATGTTCGCTTTACAAACATGTTAGGTCAACCTGGTGAGACCACTGATTGCTATTTCAGTTTACATTGCAGGAAACAGAATGAGGGATGAAAGAATGGTCATTAAAAATGTTTTAAAACTTCCACAAACAAATAATAAAAAAAAAATAAGAGAGAAACATTCTAGAAATTAAGTTTTTACTCAACCGATAAACTTAAATGATTTTGTTGCATCTGAATTTATTCATACCACTAATCATCAAGTCCTTTCTAATAGGGTCAACTCCTTTAGACCTTTTCAAGTTTTATGTGGAAGACTTGAAAGCCAGATTCAGTGAAGAAAAGAAAATTATAAAAGAAATTTTGAAGGTGAGATCAACAATATGCCAATGGTGAGTGTGATTAGAGTTGTCTGAAGTCCTTGGTAAACTACTTTACACCCTAACATCAATATGCATACTCTCCTTACTATTCTCTAAATATTTCTTATGGCACTGATAAGGAGAATTAATTTTACAATTAAGACCTGAAGTTGATGATAACTTTCTTAATTCTTGTGACTTGCATATCTGATTCAGCAGTGATACTGTAAGTAGAAGTTAGACACTAGTCTCTCTTTTAAGAGATAAAAAGTGAACATTTGTCCTGTCTTTACTTTATGTTGGTTGAATAGGGTGGAGGTTAAAAGCTTGAGCTGTGAAAGGCTTTGTCTTTGCTTGACCAATGGAAAGCGATTGTGTAGCTTGTTAACATGTGTATAGTACTTCAGGATGGGGTTTGTTGGGTCTCTCTATTGAAGCATTTGTAACAGAGAGCCATTTTTTGCCTACCCAAGTGGCAAAGCAAACAAACTTAAGATTTAATTATTAACTTATCAAATGTCCCATACCTTAAAAGAGTTTTTTGTTGCTGGGTTTTTTTCTTTTTTTTTTGTTTGTTTTTTGCTCTCAGAAACAAAGAATTTAGATTACTAAGAATATTTTTAGTTGGGTTCCAAGTACATGTTCATGAAGGTAGACAAAAAACAGATACTTCTTTTCTCAGAATTACATTTCTAATTAAAGAAAATTGAATTTCAGGATCTTGACTTTACAGTTGATATTAACACTGGTTTTAGCGAGTTTAATGACCTTGTCAAACGAGATCTCAGGAGTGATACACTGGATCCTGGAAACATCAAAATGTCATTCAATCATGTAAGTTCAAAGCTTTTTATTTTTACTGCTGCATAAATCTTGACTAGGATCTCTGGTTACCCACAACACCTGTAACAAAATGTTGAGACATCCTTTGTGGTAAAAGTGTAAAAAAGGAGATCATTATATCAGCAATGTTGTGGTCAAATGTTCAATGTGTTCAGTGAGAAGGACTCTGAAAAGTTTGCATATGGGCCCCAGTCAATATGAGCTCTTGTTGTATGGGCCAATTGGTTCCTGATTAAACCTACATTTTGTTTTTAATATTATATATTATTCTGTGGCAGCTGATTGAAAAAGCTGAAGCAAGAGAGAAAGAACGAATGAAAAAGGAAGAAAGAGAGGTAAAGTTTTTTGAAGGCTTGTACTACTAAATTCTCTATTTTAACTAATTTGGTGAAAAATGACCTAGACATGTTATAGAGAAAATTAATATGTAAAAATTAGGGAAGGCAGCTATTTCCCTGACATCCACAAGCTCTAATTTGGTTTTAACAATTGAGTTGAAAATTTAAATTGACCACTGTAAAGAGTTTAAAGCTGACATTTTGAGTGTTAGCCCTTCACTCTGATGACTTAGTTGCTAACACTAAATTACCTGTTGTACTCTCCCACAGATGCAACACCACAGTTTTTTTAGAAACTTACCCTCTGTTTGTTGTTGCCCACTCACTCACCAACACTGACTGTAGGCCTGGAACAGGTGAAAGGTTACTTAGGGTTACCTTTTTTTTTACCCTTAGCAAAGAAGACGAGAAAGTTCCTTCAAGCAGCTCCTCAAGTCATGTACTCCAGTGATTGAGGCGAACTCTACTTGGGACGAGGTAAAAATTATCTTTTGTTTAGGAGCAATTGCTTGATTACCTACAGGGTGTTTCAAAATTCCATGCCCTTTTTTGAACATGGAGAAAAAAACTGCCTTCTAAACTGTTTGTTTTTGAAACCTAGCAAGTCAATAACCCATGTTATCCATAGGCAATTTCAGTAGCCATTATTTGTCTTTATGTCAGGTGGCTGTAATCAGACACTTGTAATCACCCTGTAAAAGCAGCCAATCATACTAAGTCCACTCAGCTAAATCCACCCAAACACAGAACTGATTACAATTACAATGGCAACAACCTCTTCCCTAAAAATCTGGGTAATTTCAAAAATGGAGGAATTTTTTACTTCAGACAATGTTCCTAAGGGAGATATTTTTCTCATTGCCAATTTTCACTTATTTCCTCAGTTATTTTTTTGTTTTTTGAAATTGTTATAGTTATGATTAATTAGTAACGGGACTTTGTGTCAGCCCATTCTGTCTGTAATTGTACATGTAACTATCATTTTGTACTCTTATTGTGCAGCCAGTCAATTCTGTAAATCACTTGTATGATTATAAACTGGATTGGACTCCACTTGGTCCTATTATCTGATTTTTTTAGTTTAGACACTAGCATCCCATTTTTTTATTTTAGACGCTAGTGTCTTTTGATTTTAGACACTTGTGTCCAATTTTAGAGTTTTAGTTTTAGACACATCTGATTTTTATTTTAGACATTTGTGTCTGATCTCTTACTTTGAGCACTAGTATCCAATTTTACACACAAGTGTCCAATTTTTTATTTTCAACACCAGTGTCTCATTTTAGACACTACTGTCCAATTTTAGTCACTGTTGTCCAAATTTAAACATACAGTAGTGTCCAATTTTAGACACTTCAAAATACTGATTGCAGAATGTGAAAGTGAGATGTAGGTTTTAAGAAAAAGGGCACAAACCATTAAAACACCCTGTAATAACAGGTCATAAAATGAAAGCAAGGAGGATCAGGGTGTTAACCCTTTAAACCCTAAGAGTGACAAGCATAATTATAACTTCTCCTTCCAACATTGCCCCTCAATCACATATTAAGGTCATGAGAATAAAGAAAATGATCACCAACTAAAGAAGCTCTTGATTGTTAAACAAATTCTCCTTGTCAGCACCCTAGTAAATGTATAGGGAGCAGTAAGGAGAATATGCTTACTGATGTTAGGGTATAAAGGATTAATCAAGTTGCTTTACAGATTAAGCTTTAACAGTGAAGGGCTTAAGCTTCGTAAACATGTGTGGATAAAATGTGAGGACATCTATGTGTGCTGAGCAAAGGGAGCTGTTTTAAAAATACTAGTTTACTCGACCAGCATGTAAAATTTGTAATAGTGTCAAGAATAACGGAAATGTCTTTTTTAAAGGTGAGGGAAAGACTCGAGGAAGATCCTGCATTTGCAGCAGTCACAGTGGAATCTGAACGAATAAGGCTTTTTAATGAACACGTTGGTTCACTTGAGGTAGTGATATCACGACAGGTTGCCTTGAGTAATTCATCTGATTTATCTATCTGGAATGGTGGGAGAAATATTCAATTGATACACAGTTAGCGCACTATTCATCGCATAAGCCTGATTTATACATATAACGTAAGCATAAGTACAAGCAAACACACACAGACCCAATGAACCCGCTAATCACAAATTTCTTTGGCTGAGATTGTGCTATAACTAAATCTTATTCTGTCTGGACGGCTTGCAAAGGAGACTAAGCCCTTTGCGCACGCTCTTCACCTCGCGCTCTGACCGCACTTCACGCCGTCTTCACACTTGGCGCACTCTCTGCGCTGCATGCTTCATGTTATCTTTACGCTTCTTCTTAGCGCTTCGCTTCTTGGGCTGGTCATTAGTGGTCTACACATTACTGTTTCGGTGCTACTGTGCGGTTGCTTAATACGCTTTGCTTGCGTTGTCACTTTGTTTTGTAACACACTACTGCTATTAGAGAGACATATTTTTCGTTACTTATTGCCTCAGGACTTTTCAATCAAACAACAACACCTAGCATAGGTAATACATCCTGAGATGTACATGGGGTACTTTTGATTTTGTTTGTTTGAATACGATTTTACCTATAACCGAAAGTACCTTTGTGGTAAGGAAGTACACATACAGACTTGGAAAACTGCGAAGTGTAAAAAGCCCCAAATATTTCTCAATTGTCTCATGCTGGTTCAAGTGACGTCCTTGTTCGTAGCAATTTTTGGCCTACTTATTGCTCTTGTAAATTCATGTATTGATCGTAGCGTCTTTTCCTCGCTTAGTGATTTTTCCATATTATTGAGATCAGGCTTTGATTAACTTCTTACTTGTGACTTGGTTAGGCATGTACCCATAATCATTCAAAATCACACAAAAAAACAAAGAAAGCCAAGAAACATAGGAAAAGGTCAAGATCTCGATCGCCCAGTGGGGTAAGTTATTGCTAAGTGATTGATTGATTGATTGATTGATTGATTGATTGCTTGGTTGATTGATTGATTGACGGACTTGACGGGCTGTATTACTGACCAATTAAGTGACTGCTTTATTAATGGTTTCCACAAACAACCTAGTCCTAGCGTTTATGAAGTTAAGATCCAAAATTAAAAATAACTGTAGTTAGGTCACAAGTAATTAGAAGCACCAGATGAGACCATGAATGAATTGAGGCTTTTCTTATTTTGATTTAGTCTTTTTACATTTATAGGAGTCGTCTCAATCTGAAGAAGAATTTCCCAAAGAAAAAACATCGTCACACAAAAAGAAACGTCACAAGCGATCACGCTCTAAGTCACCAGAATCCTCTGCTTCCGAATCAGGTTAGTTCAATTCTCAAAAACATGGTTCAGTTTCGGAATATGTAGTCACGTAGTCACAGCAAATTACTTCCTGCTTTGTCAGTCATAATTTTAAGTATTGTTAACTTCGTTGATTTCAGAACAAGAAAAAGAACCAAGTTCGTCAAAAAAGAAAAAGCATAAGAAGGTGAGATTTGAGCTACTTTATAGACCTCTATCTTCATTGAAGTTGACACTCTTTTGACTTGCGTCACAACACACTTGTCCTTCATGCTTTTTTTCCGGGAGGTCCTTGTTTTCTTGTATCTCTTGTCCCAAGAGAACCTAAACAGAGACCTGAACACAGGTTAGCGTAATCGTTTTTCTTTTACTTGCTTGCCATTAATCCTTCTTATCATCTCTTTTAGTTACAATATTGTAAAATTTATTAAAGCCAAATCAGAGTTTCAAGGGGCCCAGATTGTAATGACCAGACCTGTCTTGCCTTGTGGTGACTCCTCAGAATAAAAAGTTATTGAACAATTTTCTGTAAACTTTTGTTAAATGTTCATTACCAATGTCTGTTTCGAAAATTGCAGTAAAAAAGATAGGTCACCGTGCTTGTTTAGCAGATATAATGGGCCAAACTTACCCCATTTATGCGTGTACTGGCACAAATCATGCGCGTCAATCATCGGTTCACATTACATTTTGCTGTAGCTGGAAGCAAGGGTCTTTAAAGTAACACTTAAAAAAACTTGATAGGTAGAAAGTGTCGAAGAATTTTTTTTAATTTCCCCAATTTAAAGGGGATAAATTGTACACCAAAATTATGCAAAAAAATATAGGTCACCGTGCTCGTTCAAGAGCTGAAGACACTCGTTCCTCTTCAACTGGTGCATGGATTGTAAAACAATGCCGTGTTCTCGGAATGTGCGCGCGCCTATTCACCTTATTACGTGATTTTTATGCGCAATAGAGGATGCGCCGTGCAATACTGAGGAATCATCTTAATTAGTCCCTCACGGCCAAATCGAGCTTCGAGACACAAGGCCAATTTGGCGTCAAGGGTCATTTGGGCTCTTTGCATCGTAAATTGTATTCTTTTGTGTCTTACACGCATTGAGGAAGCACTGAAGGGTCATTTACAAACATAAAAAGTATATCAGTGCAAGCTTTCTAAGTGACAAAGTTTTGTTTCAATGCTTGCTGTTATCAGCTTTGATAATTCTTTTGTTACTCAAAGCTTTAAAACAGTGTCCATTGTGACGGGATATTTCGTTCTTTTGTTTCAGAAATCAAAGAAGAAGAAACAACGATCGGTAAGTGCTGATGAGAGACAGTAAAACGCAGCTAATGTGAAAAAATGGTTGGAAAGAGCGAACAGCATGTTAATCCTTAACCCCTAAGAGTGACAAGCATCTAATTTCTCCCTACAATATCACTTCTGAATCATGCATTAAGGTCATGAGAATAAAGGAAATGATCACCAACTAAAGAAGCTCTTGGTTATAAAACAAATTCTCCTTATCAGCACCTTAAGAAATGTATGGAGAACAGTAGGGAGAATATGCATTATGATGTTAGGGTGTAAAGGGTAAATCCTTAACCACCTGGTAGAGAAGAGGGTATCCATAGTGCTTTGCGAGCGTAGTTGTTTGCTGTCTTTTTCTATTCTTAACGTCTTCACTATTCTCCTTGCGTTGTTAAATTGTTATTCTTAGCTTGTTTGTTTGTATTTGTGGCTAGGTTTTGCAGCTTGTGAACTTTTTTAGCTTATTTCCATTTAGATATCTTGTGTGTTTGGTGCCCTTTTCCTATCCCGCTCGTGTTTGGGAACAGTTTGAAACACTTCGCGTGCAGAAAGCTTTTTACTAATCTAGTCATAATAACAATGATGAGAATAAGAAAAGAAGAGGTCACAGGTCAAAGACTTGTAGATTTACGAACACCTTTATACCGTCTTCAGTTGGAGTTTATAACGAATCCTGATGTATAAATCATGAACTATATTTTCCAATAGACTTAGAGATATGATACCCTTTTTTATAACACACATTTAGATCACATAGATTGAATCCAATTTAGTAATTCACGTTTTCAATATTATTCAATTTATATATTTATTATTATTTTATTTAATATTTTGTGTACACGTAATTCAGCCCTCCAGCTGCAAGTTGCACTTTTTCAATACACACATACATACATATATACATACATACACATACACATACACATACACATACACATATCTTGCTAGAATGACTTCAGAATAGTGGGCTTTATGCTTCCCAGACCTAATTCGAACTTTATGCGTGACTAGTGCCAAAGCAAGTGATTCGCATCATAAGAGCAAAGGAGGATTTCCTTTAGGACCATGGGATTATAACAAAGTAGCGCCTCACCAATGTAGCCGTTTCTCAATAAGTCTCTGAACTACCTCTGGCATGAATGTGACATTTTATGTTTACCCTCTTGCCTTACCAGCCCGACGAAGAATCTGAGGGTGAAAGGTACAACAGAGAGAAAGAGGACAAGGAGAAGGAGAGGGACAAGGGCCGCCGAGAGCGTGACAAAGTTCGAGAAAAGGAGGCGGACCGTAGCAGGGAAGGAGAAAGAGAACGAGAACGTGAGAGGGAGAAAGAAAGGGACTACAAAGAGAAAGACCGAGACAGGGACAGAGAAAGAGACAAAGATAGGGATAGGGACAGAGAAAAAGATCTGGATAAGGATAGAGAAGCTGACAAAGGAAAGGACAAGTCCAAGAAATCACAGGATAAGGTGCTGACACCATCACCATCACCTTAGTTCACTATTTCTCAGTCTTTACCATAGGTCATGCGCAGCTATCTTGTGAATCTAACGAGGACTTAAAAGGAGGGAACGGGATTGAGTTTTACAAGTACTTCAACAAGCGGACAGTCAAGATACTTCAAGGGGGGATCACTCTTGAAGCTGAGAGTTACTCGAGCTTTCAGTCTTTCCAAATTTTAAGAATTCCACAGCAAAGTCGCGCGCTTTTTGTGCGACAAAAAAAAAGGCGACAAGGAATTTAAAACCGAACAAACCAGAAAACATTTCTATAACGATTTTCGCCAGTTCTCCAAGCCTCCCACACCTTTCTTCCCCTTTCTTTTTCTCCTCTGATTTTGAACTGAGACACGAGTTAGTCGGGGGCCCTTGGGACAAGATCAATACAGGTTGTTAACCAGTTAAACGGGTTTGAGATCCAGACATTGTTGGTGCCGAGATAAATTCTGTTGAAACGGAGATTTTTCTGTAATTCAATGGGTAATTTATCCCCTCTGATGACTTGAACAAAACATGTTTATGGAGAAGCGTTTTGAACATCTTTTTTTTAAATTGGTATTATATTATTTGTGAGATTATTCCGTCAAAGTTAAGATAAGTTTATATTTTCAATGAAATGAATTATATTGAGGGCAGTTTATTGATGAGTTGTATTCGTAGCTGCTCGTTGTTCTCCCTCCGACTTGCTTGTAAAAGCTTATAGACGAATTAAAATGTTGTTAAAGTAGTTTTGTGATCTTTCTTTTAGTAAGTTTCGTTTTGTGTTTGGCAAATAGTTTGTAGTAAGTCTTTTCACTTAAAAAACTTATCTCACAATCAGTTGAGGCTTTTAACAAAGCATTAAGTTTACGCATAGTGCTAATTTGCAGTATTTTTTCCCAAAATTTACATTTGTGTGAGGAAAAACATTTTGGAGGTCATTGAATTGGTTTTTATGCCTGTAAAGAGTTACATTTGTCCCTTGTAGTGGAGGTGCGCCAGTAAGATTGGTTTTCCTTTTGGCGGTGTATCTTATTACGTCATTCAACTGGATCACTTGGAGATCACAGCTGAGACCAGGCATAATTTGTAGTCAAACGGCAACTGTGGTGTATCTTGGCAGTACCTTAAAAAAATAAACTTGCAATTATTTTCAGAAAGACTCAATTCAGCTAAGTTTGTGTTGCGGCCTGGTTATTTGATGAGAACAGTTCATAAAACTGAGCCTTACTCTGTTAACATATGCCTAGCAATAAGTTTGAAGCATTTATATAGAGTTAAAACAAGCGATCGGTTTATTCAACGTTAGGTAAGTGAGAGACTAAGTCTGGTGGACTGATGGCTGGTTTGCTGTTTTCTCTTCCAGACCGCGTGGGATACTACCTCGAGTGAGAGCGAAAGTGAACTGGAATGCAGACGAAGAGCCCTGCTGAAGCAACTTGGCGCTGATGGGGACGACCACTAGACTGTGACAAAGACAACAAGTTGAAACGAAAATAGAACTACGATTGGTAGTTTGTTTCTCTCCTCCCTCTCCTCTGAGATGGCGAATCGAAATAATACCTTCTTTAAAGAAATTTGTTCCTTTATTGTCATGCGTTGTTTTCTCTCCTCAATATTTATTCTTTTTTCTTGCTTTAATGTATCATGTCACGTGTTGTCTTTTAATCCCCTATTTGAATTACGATGCTCAGGTCTGCTCACTTCGAGATTTACCTCTTGAAAAGTCATGTAACATAGTTGTAAATTAGCAAACGCTTCATCACAGTAACACCAGTCTACCCCAAGTCGTTATTCAACGACGTTAAAGATCTATAAGATTTGAACGCTAGTGTTTATCACATGACCTGAACGATGCCGCGTGTGCTTTTTTTCGGAGAAGCCATTTTAAAAAAAAGTCGAATCCTAGTATGAGAGCCATATACGGAAGCGGAACCGTCAAAACCGCACAGCCCTTAATGTGGCACCGCAATTAGGAAAATACAATGAAAAAGTAGGGAAGATAAATGGTGGTCGTTGGATAAAATGTGTATGGACTAAGTCAAGCAAGCATTACAAGTTGACTCAGTTATGTTAAGCCTAATCGCGGCCGGACCCTGTCAATAAGTTCATAATATTGCATATCTTTAATGTTTAATCCAGTTTAAAGCATGCTTTGTTACCTTAATCGTTTATTTCAGTTCGTTGGTGAAAATACTTGGATAACAAGGAAATGTACTTCGTAGAGACCGGTGTAAATGTCACCATACATTTGTGGAGACCGTCTCCTCAAAGTAGTTTAAATACCGTACGACATTAGTTGGCGAATGTCCCTGCTCTTCCTGTTAAATAGTCGTGCTAATGATGTACACAAGCAAAGGCTGACTTGTGTGTCACTGAATTAAAACTCCGTCAGAAAAACTTCCTATATCCCTTTTCGTACAAACATTGCGGGCCAAGAGCAGGTTTGCTCCATTCGCTCTCCCTAAGGGCTAACGCCCAAAACGTCAGCGCTAAAAAAAACTTACGGTGGCCAATTGACATTTTCAAATTAGAGAACCGCAGTTTAGAAACCAACCCCTTTGTTTATTAACAGGTCTGCTCGTTTTGCGCTTTAACCTCTGAGAGTGACTGGCATCAAATATCTTCTGACCGTATCACCCCTGAATGAAACATTGAGATCAGGAGAATAAAGGAAATGATCACCAACTGTAGAAGCTCTTGATTGTTAGACAAATTCTCCTTGTTAGCACTTTAGAAAATGTTTAGAGAAGAATATGGAAAATATACATACTGACGTCAGGGTGTAAAGGTTTAAGCCACGTGGGTAGGGATCACGTGCTGTAGAGGTTACCCACGGTGTTCACTCTTCTTTCCCAGTTGGCCAGATAATTGAAATGCGTTTGATCCCACTTTTGGCTGCGTTTTCACTCATAAACACGAAAAAACTAAATATCTGAAGAAGTGTTGATTTCAATTCGTCTAAAATGTGTGTGTCACTAACGTGTTTCTGCAGCAAAGCCTCCACTCTGTTGAAACTGAACTGGTTCAAGACCCAGTCTGTGTAAATCAATATTTGCTTCGTATTCCGACGACCTTATCTTACAGATTTCGGAGCTCACCTCACTTCAATCGTTTTACTAAATTTCTTTCTTTCGTTGCTAATTACCACTTTTTGGGACCTGGTCATAAGCACGATTTTCAAGTACTGATCTATTTCTGGGAAGAAACGCCTCAGCAATAAACTTAGTCAGAGAGAATTTTTAACAAGTAGAAAAAGTTGTTTCACAAGCAACAGCTGGTAAAGAAAGATTGCGAGGGTATTCCAAGGGGAGAAGATCTCTTCTTGTGTTTTCTTCTCAGAGTTAGCCATCTTCCTAAGTTGATCAAGGTGGCAAACTGAAGGGTGTTTGTAATTGTCCTAGATAAACTTCCTTGCGGTGTTTTTGTGTGCTGATCATAAAGTGAAGACTAACACGAAGGGTAAAACCTCATTGAGGTCCTTTTTCAATTTCATTAAAACACAAACAAACACAGTTTGCCCGAGGTGTCGCTTTTATTTAATGACAAGTTTTTCAAGACATTGATGTTAATAAACGTCCTCGAATTCGTCATCATGGTGAAAATGTTCATTTTCCTGATCTTGGAGCTCAGTTCCCAGGTCAATATCCATGTTATTCTCTGGCTTCTTTCCTCTCTTTCTCTCCATCCCACTGCCAACTCTCTGGTCACTCTCTTGGGCGATTAGACGATTTTGAACAATTTTCTGCTCGCCTCGTCGACGACGACGACGACGCCAAGCGTCACTGAAAACAGAGAGGAGATCGACAGTGCTCATCTTTTAACTTCTTTTCTCAGTCTGAATATGAATTCTTTCCTTGTGATTGCCAGTTAAATCTTATGCTTGTACCTAATTCTCGCGTTTGGGTGTTGTGTCTCAGGTCTCTCAGAAACTTTGGAATAGTCTCAGTTAGGAGGTGTTCAAGAGAGAAGCGAAATCGTAAGTGTTCCTTTTGATCTGGACTGGGTTTTTTTAACCAAGTAGTGTTACTGAGATTGGATTGACCTATTTTATTTTCATTTTTGGGTGATGGCGTCACCACACTGACATATTTATGTGGCAAGCTACTCACCTTTCGTGCAGGAAAGCGGCAATTAGGCAAACCGCCAGAAAAATGGCTGTAACACGTCCCATGTCAATATTTTGTTTCTGCAAAGAACCAAGAAAATGTAAACTGTTTGAAATCTCTTGAATGAACGTAATAATTCAAGAGGAGATCGTGAACATCCGCCTCCTTGAAGACTCCGATTGACTCACTCAGACAGGATGGTGCGAGCCTTTCCGAGAATCTTTCAATGCCGGTTATAACATAACTAACAGAGAAAGGCGTTTTAACGTGGAAATATGAAAATAGTCCTCAATTCCTAACTTGGTAAGAGTCATTCTACTTACTGAGCTAAACTCTTTGAATCTCCACATTCCCATATCGAAAAAGAGAGAAGCTAAAACTTCTTCTCCCAATAAGGATTGAGAAGCTTGGTAAAAGCACTGTTCCTGTACCGAGAGTTGTTTTGTGTTCTCCCCTGAATGATTTTATGGGCTTAACCATGTTGAAGAAAAACCCAAAGAGACTCTTAATAGTGTTGTCTGGATGAAGGGTGCAATGGCAATTCTTGAGCCGAAGAAGCAAACACTTTAGACAGCACAAGTTAATAGCGAGTGGAACACAGTAATTAGAGAGGGGTGATGAACTAACTCATGATCACGAACGACCGCGATAGCTGATGTAGTAAAGTTTTGCGATGTTTCACTTTAGTTGGAGAGGTGGATAGGTGATAACTCTTGCTTTAATAATGTGGGCTCAGTATCAAGTTCTTAATAAACCAGGCGTACCAATTCACCCCACACGTAAACACTTCAATCTTGTTACTCAGAAAAGGTTACTGAAGACGTTCGGAGGCCAAATTTTGTGAAAAAAAATGGTTTCGCTCATTTTCCAGCTGAAACATTAATCTATAGTTTGATGAAATATTAATCTTAAATCAAGTAATGGTAGTGAGATATCGTTGAAAACCTGTTTTTGAGATTATTTGAGAAAAGCGGAAAGTGTATAATCACTTTTTAAACGTAAGCTACTCCTTTGCTTTCTTTCGCGGTAACTCCAATTACAATGATCTGCATATTTGTTGTGGTAAAAATAGATTTGCTCTTTCGCAACCGTTAGCCGGGCCATCGGCATCGGGGAAGTTTGGAGCAAGAGTCCGTAAATAAATGGTTTGAAGGATTTTTACGAAAATTTGCCGAAACGTTCCAAAATTTCTGAGACTTTCTTTATACACCAAATACTATACTCCTCCATTTGCGCCTTCTTGTCAATTACAATGATTTGCACATTTGCTCTCTCGCGACCGTTAGCTGGGCCATCAGCATCGGGGAATTTTGGAGCAAGAGTCCGTAGATAAATGGTTTGAGTTGAATGAAACAAACGTCTGGGTGAGGTGTGATAAGCTTATAAAACTTAAGGAGCCGAAAACTCGCGCTTTATTTTTGCGTGGATTTCTTAACTTCGCGCGATTTAATAGGGTATGTAAATTTGAAGGACTTTTACGAAAATTTGCCGAAACGTTAACTGGTTATTAACACGCGAACATTTCTGAGACTTTCTTTATACACCAAATTCTCTACTTCTCCATTTGCGCCTTCTTGTGTTAGGTGTTAACACGAAGGTATGTAATTCGATTTATCAAGCATAGTCAATTTGCATACAAGCCACTATTATCGACAAAAACATTGCTCTTTTAGAGGCTGAATACCCGTGTGACACTCACTTAAACAGCCGAGGGTAGGCAAATAAATAGAATAGAAGTTTTCTTGGGAGAATCAAAAGGAAATACGGTAATTAACTGTCAGCTGAAGGAGACTGGCCAAGAGTCATGTTAAAAGTTCTTCACTCCTAGACTTCAGTATTATCATGATTGCCAATTGGTATTACGTCTTGGAATAAAATAGTAGCGTAAGAGGCTCATTAAGAATATTATTTATGGCACTGAGAAGGATCGAGAGAAAGGCAACAAGTTTATTTGAAAAATTAACCAGCGGGTAAGAAGCAGTGTTAGGATGAAAGTGCCAATCAGCTGATGACTTTTACAGCTAACGGTTTTAATTTTGGCCCTTTTACGACTTACGGTAAAAAGAATGTTAAAAATCAGTTTTATTTATTTGAAAACGTTGAAAATTAATTTTCTTTGTTTTAAACCACATTTACGACCGACCGTTTTCTTCTCAGGTCAATCCAGGGGTATGAAAAAAAAAACATATAGCAAATAGCATACTGCTTTAGTAATAATACAGTCAAACTTCTCGTCAGCGACACCTGAAATGTTAAGTTAAGTGCTGACTTTCGGGAGGTGGTCTCTTAAGGGAGGTGGTCGCCAACCAGAAGTCAGGCCACAGCTCTTATCAAAACCTGTAATGATAACTTTTAGCGGCTTATTCAAGGAAAAAAAATATAAGGATCTATGGCGATTGTTTTGTATCTCACGAATTACTTAATACAGCGTTTGGGACAATTCACGTGAAAGAAACTTGGCTCGTGAC